CAGAGTTATGATCTGATAAGATCTTAGGCTCTGATTTCTCGACCTGGATCGTATGAAAATCATGACCTCAGAATTCTTACATTAAGCCGTACCTTAAGATTGTTGACAGATCTTGCTGTTCTGTAAGATATTATTGTAAAATTATACAAAATCTTGTATCACAATAAGATCTTGTAAGAATCTTATAGTCCGATTTGATGTAAGATTTCAGAGACCACGATTTTTTGTACGATTTCACTTGATCGTACAAGACTTGATGTCTGATATTTTGACCTGGGGATGTATCATTGGTAAGCCAGTTTTACCGATAGACCGGTAAAACCGGTCTACCGGCCGGTCCGGTCCGATCTAATTTGATTAGACCGGTACCGATACCAGTCTGAAAACAACTAGACGGGTTCCATTTATGGGATGGGATGGGCTAGCCCCTCCCACTTTTCCGATATGTCTGCGAAAATTTTCTGGTTAACTGTCTGTCAAATATTTCAAGCAATCTTCGACTTGTGGCACATTCAGCAAACAGTCTTGATTAGCAAATATATCAGACAGCGTAGGCCTGGTAAATCAGACAGACAGTCAATAACTTCTGTCACGCCCAGCAAAATCGGCTGGCTATCTATGGTATTCGCTGAATCTGTCAAATAGACTTTAGTTTCATTATTTCTAACAGACAATACATGACTAGCAAGTCTGGCAGATAGTGTTTGGCTTCTGTCGGAACTTACAGTCTGTCTGTGGTTTCTGCTGCATCCGACACACAGTCTGCGGTTCTATCAGATCTAGCAAATAGTATAGGCTTGGCAAATCTGGCAGAAAATCTGTGACCTCTGCTAGGTCTAGTAAGCAGTCTAGGTCTCGCAAATCTCGCGCACAGTCTGTAACCTCGACGAAACTCACAGACACAATAGAGCTTGCATCGAATATGAAACGAAGCTTTAGTAAACCTTGCCTCCTCTTACGGCAAGCTCAGTTATCTTTCTGTGAAACAAGATCACAGTCGAGTGCGATTTTTAAAATTAAGCTTAACAAGCGTTTCACTAACGACTAACCGTCATAAGTGTAGCCGCCTTCAGCGGCAACAATATTGAGAAACGCCTCTACATTGAATATGAAAGACCTTTTTCGGAAGTTTTAAAGGAAAGTATAACTCTTAGCTATCTGCGAAAAATGTTCGCTTCCTGAGACATTGAGTTTGATTCTGTACTAGTCAGTGAAGTTTGCCGAAGTTTACATTTCGTACGAAATTAAATTCCGAGCAAAAAGAATTTTGCCCAATTTTGACATTGGAAAAATTATTATATCACCTCTGCTTAAGGCCCCCCTCCCCCTAAAAAAAAGTCAATTTTCGTCAAAAATTCCGAAATTGAGATAAATACATGGGGAGATAGTCCGTCATCTGCTCTTTCATAAACGATAATTTGTTTTTCTCGTTACTTCATTTTTTCCAAAAAATTTTCACGATTTCCGTCAACCCCTATTCGAAAAACCAGCTGTTTTTTTGCTTTTTCTCAGTTTCCACTTTCTCAAAAAGGCATCCCAAATTTCTCCTTCTCGATTCGTTCAATGTATTAAATTTTGTTTGTTTGTTTGAAAGAGCATCTCAAGGCGCAGGGCATGACTGTGCCCTTTTTTTTCGAATTAAGCCTTTGTTTGGTTAATATACAGCCATTTATATGATTTTGCTACCATATTTTGATACTTTTTTGAGTCATTGAACTTGTGATCCATTTTTTGCGCTTAAAAAGGACTGTTTAAAAAAAGCGGCCTCGTCATGCCCTGCGCCTTGAGATGCTCTTTCCAACAAAAAAAAAATATTAATATGTTGACTGAATCAAGACCGAAAAATTTGGGATGCCCAAAGAGTCATTTCTGACCCTTTTTTGGTTCATATCTCCCTGAAACCTGAAGATTTTTGGCTAAAATTTTTATGGTAGTCTTCTGTTTCCAACCCCAACATATCCTGAAAGTTTCATCTAATTCGGACGTTGCTGGGCTGAAATAGATTTTTGAGGGGGGGGGGGGCTTAAAATAATTCTTAACCTTTTGCCCTCGCCCCTTTCATCTTCCCCATTTGACTTTTCAGCAATGTCTGGGAAAAATTTTACATACTGTCTGCGAAAAAAATTTAGCCCATACCACTTCGAAAAACTATCGAGAGCCTTGCATGTGATACTCAAATTATTTTCCAGCACATAAATGCAAGACACAACAAAAAGTATATAGAACGATACAGAATTTCAAGTTCTGTCATATTTATATACTTACTTTTCCAAAAGATATATTTCTAGAGTAGTTAAAAGTTGAAAAAAACTAATTTTGATCATAATGGCAAAACAACGTCTGAGGGAATGTGAGGATGAGTGTGCCTTCATTACGCTCAATTTATTTTGATAATGCATAAGTGCAAACTAAAACATGAATATACAAGGTAATCGAAAGCTCTAATCGCTGTCAAAATATGTTTTTATAGTGATGATTTATTTGAAATAAAGACTAAATCTATTTATTTCCGGGAGGGATACATGCTTTTTCGACTTTCTCTTAATAAGAAAAAACTTTGTAAGCGTATCCTTCTTTGTGATCGAACAAACATAGGTGATTTCATCAGCGTGAATATTGTCTTTGATTTGGTTTACATTCCACGTTCCTTCGGGTTTGAACAATAGGAACAGATACACTAACTTTGTTCGACAAAAATGTATATCGATAGTTCATGCATAAAAATTTTCTTTGGAAGAAATACAGAACTTCCAGATAATATTCATATTAGATGTTTTAGATTAACACTAGGGCATGATCTCAGTGCAAAAGGCAGTCTCTTCCGTATGCAATTAGGGACAAGATTGACAATTTTCAGAAGCTACACACTGACTGTCTCTGCAATAAACACTAGCTACGTTTTCAAAAAGTTGATCAAACAGATAACCCATTCCTTAGCTTACTTGAGAGACACAGTTTCGAAAGCAATGGTATAACCATTTTGAAAATAGTTGTGGAGAAAAATTCCTACATTATCAGGAGGCACCTTAAGACTTGCGTTGGACATTAAAATGGAAAGTGGATACGCTATATCCCAGATCCTCAGAGAGTATTCTACGCGTGAGATACACTGTAAAAAATAGAATGCCTATATGAATTCGTACAGGATATTCTAGGAATGCCCATAAGAATTCAGCGATGAATTTCTACTTTCTTGAAAATAGAATATTCATATTCAAGTTCCGATTTTAAGCTGGAAATAATATTGAATTTCTATTATTTAGAAAATGGTAGATTTTCTAAATAACAGAAATTCTATAAATGAATTATAAAGTTTGAAAATGCTTTAACTTATTTAAAGTCGATTTTCTACAAAATTGAATTCAAAAAAAATTACAGTGTAGAGATGCATCCAATATTTCATCTTTAAGTCCACAATTTACATTCAATACTTCGAAGTAGTGATGCTCCGCATAATAACCGAAATATTTTTCTGCAAGCTTGAATAGAATGATTTCTGGACTTTTTCAACCTTTACAAAATACACTACTTGGCTTTTGACTTTTATTCGGATGACCATTGGTAAGGCACATAATTAGTCATATTACTCGAAACATCAGAAAACAAGACAATTCGTAAATAAATATTTTTTCATTATGACCTCATTTTGGTTTTAAAGTTTCGCTACAAACACAGTTCATTAAGCTCTGTCGACTGAAATTCATGAAATTCCTCAATGCTGTTGAAGCAGTTTACCATTGTAACATACTTCGTCCTCTGTTCTTTGTCCCATCGTATCCGTTTCAAATGAAAAGTCACAGTACAGTTCGAATTTGGATTCTGCTCACTTCATCTTGTACCTGGTATCAGGTCATTATATTTTCCTGACGTCACTAAGACTACTCTTCGAAAGAGGGAATGTCTGTGTAAGTGTGCATATTCTCTTTACTCACACCCACATAAATATCCACAGCCACAGCCTCACCTCATTCTTCGTATCGATTGTGTGCGATTAGGAAAGAATTAATGCAGTTATTTTTTCTCGTGTTGCTAATCGACATTCGCACAAATCACGAACAAATATTGCGAATTTCTTGACGGTCATTTTTACTACAAAATCTACTTCTAACGAGAAACCATTAGCCGACCAATCGCGCTACAAAAAACATTAGCAACGAGTGTGCATTAATACAGCAAGCTTTGCCATTGCTACCAATAATATCGAAGTCTTCTACAATTAAATTTTCAGATCACCTACGAACAAAACTTCATCTGTTCTGCTTGCACTAAAACTACGTATCCTATTCTTGAAGTAGTTTCCAAAATCACCAAGCAAGCTCCTGTTTAACTAACACAATCACAATGATACCGTATGTATCTCCTTTATTCCTTTCAACTTGCACATAGACTTGTTCTCGTAGATTTCACAAAATCTTGTTAGTAGCATTGCCTTTTGGCATCCTGGCCGCCGTACTCGTCCCAAGTATTTATTTCAGCCGACAGAGCAAGCATCCGGATCAGACTTCAGGTATCCTCCATCCAACATCCTTTGCATCTGACATCCCTATTCATTCTATCTCTGTCTCTCTTTCAAAGCCTCAATCCCAATGACAACAACAATCGTGACTACGACAACTCCTGGCATCGCAACCAGCCGCGCAACCGTAACAAGTAGCTTCGAAACGTACACAGAGATCGCAGCAATAACCACCACGACGATTAAGATGACTAGCACAACAACCTCAGCCATAATTTCCACTACAAGTAGTATGACACGCAACGCCACAGCTACGATGGGTAGTAGCACAACCTCAACGACAGGTACCACAACCTTGACTGCGATCAACACGACGACAACCAAACCCATAACTGCGACTACCACCAGTACAACATTCATTGTCACAACCTTGACTGACAGTCGCACCACAACCAGTGTCACAACAACGACAACAATCACAGCAACCACAGTCATAACTTTCACTACAAGTAGCACAACAATTCCAGCGGCAACCTCGACCACATCAATCACAACAACCGCAGCCATAATCTCGACCACAACAACCCGCGCGACAACCACGACAACAGTCACAACAACCACAGCCATAACCTCGACCACAACAACCACAGCCATAACCTCCACTACAACAACCGCAGCCATAATCTCGACCACAACAACCCGCGCGACAACCACGACAACAGTCACAACAACCGCAGCCATAACTTCGACTGCAACAACCACAGCCATAACCTCGACTACAACAACCACAGCCATAGCCGCGACCACAACAACTACAATCACAGCCATAACCTCGACCACAACCACCGCGGCCATAACCTCGACTACAACAATCACAGCCATAGCCGCAACCACAACAACCAGCGCGACAACTACGACAACAATTACAACGACCACAGACGTAACTTCGACCACAAGTACCACAACAAACACAGACGTGACCTCGACCACAACAACCACAGACGTAACTTCGACCACAAGTACCACAACAAACACAGACGTGACCTCGACCACAACAACCACAGCCGAAACCTCAAGCACAGGTAGCGCTACAACTAGTGATGCAGCTACGACGTCTAGCACAGCAGCTGGCGTCACAACCACGACGTTCATCACCCAGTCAGACAACCGACGAAAAATAACGTGTATAAACGCGTGGAAATATTAACGAAAAAATAATCGTAAAAAGCGCATATTTCCACTTTTTTTTGTTCAAATGTATCCACGCGTTTAACTTCGTTAAGAAATTTAACCCGCTTTGAACGCGTTAAATTTTTTAACGAACCTACACGCGTCAACGAATTTGAACGAAAGAAAAAAGTGGAAATGTGCGCTTTTTACGATTATTTTTTCGTTAAAATTTCCACGCGTTTATACGCGTTACTTTTCGTTGGTTGCCTGACTGGGATTTAAGCGATAGTTTCGATGAGTTCTTAGTTGTTTTAATTATGTTACCACCTTATAACAATAACTTCTTGGTTAATTTTGGTCCATGGAACTGTGCAAAAAATTTAATGCTCAAAAAGTTTTGGGCATCTTATACAATTTCATAGACTGAAGATTAACTGAGAAGCCATTGTTATAAAGTGGTAAAACAATTGAAACAACTAAGAACTCATCGAAAATATCCCTCAAGTAACGTCGATATATGGAATTTGATTACTCTCTTTTGGGATACTTTCATTTAAAAAATAATACACTTTCGAATCGGAAACGTTACGCGAAAAAAGAATTATTTTACCGTTACTATCTCGCCCAACTACTATTTTGTATGGACATAACAAATATTAAGATTATTTCGTAAGTTTTAAGCCCTTTTTAATTTCTTGTTTACACTTTTCGAAGACATAAAATGGAACAGACATCCAAGATGTAAATTTAAGAGCATAATCTAGACTGTCATTTAAATTTGATTGCACCAAATTGATATGTGTTAAAGAAGAACATTATTAGAAAACATATTAAAATATGTTTATCAAATGCGTTAACCAATCTGTTTCGATTAATAATAACAGAATCATCTGTCGTTGCGAATCGTTTTTGTTATTCTGCTATTTTAAAATGCAATTCTAAATTTGTTGTGAACATGGTTTTTTACATAGCTGAGATAAAAGTATAATAGAAAAAATACAATGTAAATTCGATAAACATTTTTCAACATGTTGTCTAATGGTTCACTCTCTTAATATTGACGTCAGATGAGTTAAATGAGTTTTGTATGATAGATTAGATCTTATTCTTGAACATACATTTTCTATATCTGTTCAATTTTATATAATTGAAGAATATTAAAAAAAAACAAAAAAAAATGCACAATTTATTAAGCACTACACATATACTCAAAACTTACAAATGATATCTTGGTATGGCTATTCGCCTCTTTCTGATATATGCCGACCTTAAAGAAAAACTAAAGAAATAAAAAAAAATTTTTTTTCTGCACGATAAATAGAAAAACGAAACGCTAAGTTGTTTGTCAAAGTTCACTCCTTCACGTTTAACTGTATTACCTAGAGCAGAATAAAAGATTTCTATGCATGTTACTAAAAATGTAAAGTGTGACTCGTATTAAGACATGCATTTCGAATTATCGATCTATCAACTATTATATTAGCGTTTAGCTGACTATGAGAAAGAAACGTAACCGACTACGAAAAAGTTTATAATGCTCCAGACTTCCATAGAAACGAAAAGCTAAAAGAATCGATTCCAAATAGAAGGGAAATAAAAAAGACAAATTACTGCGCAAAGAATAGAAAGATAAATTTACATTGATTTGTTCCACTTAATTGAAAAAACTACTACATTTCAATACGATAAACAAGAATGTCGCACGCTTGCCCGCATTACGACCGATATAGCGTATAAGAATTTCCAGCAGTGATTACGACTTTTTTTCTAGCTTTAAACAATTTCAGTGTTATTCTATCTCGATTCGAATTATTTCTCAGAAAGAATTCAAATGAATCGACAAAGAAAAACAGCTTAAGAATATATTTCACTAAAACAAAATCTGCATCGCCATCTATATATAAAAAGAAATTATCTTTCCTACATAAAAAATAAGTATTGCAGTTATACTAGCCACTTCTTGTAGATTAAGAGTACTTTTATTTTATAAAAATGTTGTCTTCTATATCTTTTACAATAGCATATTGATTAAAACGTATTAATACGAGTTAAACATCAAAAGACAGAAAATTGTATTTAACGCAAAATGGCTAAAAACGCATTTAGTCAGTTAAAGTTCTTGCTTTTAAACGGGTTTGACTTTATGAACGCGTTAAAATCAATAGAATTTAGCAGTAAACCGAGTAAAAATGCATATATTATAAAGCTCCCCTTCCTCAAAAATTGATCTCAGACCAAGAACATTCGAATTGCATGGAACTTTCAAGATATATGTTGGGACTGGTGTGGGAAGGCTATAGGAAAATTCTCAGTCCTATATCATGACGTTTGACAGAGGTATTCATCAAACAAGGACCCAATAATAGCTCATGTGGTCTCAAAGAATTCTCTATGGGTCTTCATTCTATACATTTAAATTTTCTTTTCTTTGAAAGCTCGTGTTTAGGACTAGGGACTATCGTGGCCCTTTTTTTAAATTCTTACTTTTTAAGTGAAGAAAAGGGATGACCAGTTCAATGACTAAACAAACCCCTAAAAACTGATGTTGTTTCAATTGAGATGTTTTCTTATATGATAATAAAAAAGCTTGTTTAAAAAAAAGGACCATGAGAGTCGCTGGTCCTAAGCACTTGCTTTCAAACAAAAAAAGTTGTTGGTTACAATGAAGCTCCTTTGAGAATTCTTGGAGATATGATCGAAAACCCATAAAATAAGAAAAAAAAAAGATTTTTCTTTTTTTTTCAAAAACGGCTTATTTTTCGAATACGGGGTGACAGAAATCTTTAAAAGTTTTTGGAAAAAGCGGAGTACTGAGCTAAGATTTTTGTCGTTTATAAGAGATCAGATCATGGGGTATCTTTTCCTGCATTCATCTTAATTTCGAGCATTATGACGAAAAATGACTTTTTTGAGGGAAGCCTTAAGAAAACATTTACGCACTATAACGGATTCATTGATGCTTAATGCGTTAATACGCGTTAAAAAATCGTTCACACGGCATTTTTACGAAATTGTAACGCGTTCCAGCGCGATTTTTGAGAGACTTGGCTAATTGGGTTATTGAACTAAAGCTTCTGAATTTAGACTAATCTCAAGAGACGAATTCGTTTAAATGCATTTAATTGCTTCAAAAAATAACAAGGAATAACGATTGATTATTGAACATAATAAAATCCGTTCGAAAAAATACGTGTAAAAGTATGTTTTTATTACTGAAATTTCTGCGTTATTACGCATTTAAGCATTCAACGGAATAAAACTCGTAAAATTTACGGTATGAATGAGTAAAAACGCCTAAATTGATGATAATTTTATGCGTTTTAACACGTTAGATATCTCTCACGCGTTTTAATTCGTTAAAAAAATCGTTAAAACGGCGTTTTAACGAAATTTTAACACGTTTTGACGCGTTTTGTGAAGAGTCTTGTCTGACTGGGCAGCACAACGCAAACTACCACTATCACAACAACAACAACAATCACAACTATATTGATGTCTACAACAGGTAAAAGAAAAATAACTAGTTGGTTCACTGGATTTTCTTTTATACCTGAACGTGGTACTTACATTTGCTTTACTAGTAACTTGGTAACTTCGAACTGGAATATTTCACAGTAACTAAATAGCTCAAAAATTGCCCAGTTACAAATAATAAATAAGTTTCCTCTATTAGTTATTAGTAATTTAGTTTCTGTAAATTCCCTAATTCCTAATAACAATCTGACTTTCAAGTTACTAAACTACTAAAAACTTCGTAATTCAAAATTATTCATTGGCTGTCACTCGTTAACTAAAAGTTATCTGTTTAATGGTAACTTAGTGGCATGCAAGTGAGCTATTTGCGAGTAATTCAGTAACTTAGAGCTATTTAATTTCCAACGAAGAGAAAATTCTCAAATTAGCTATTGACTGGTAAATAGGAAAGTTTTAGGTTAATTGTTCACTTGTAACTAGGTAAACTTTAGGTTGCGTAAATTAAATCTAAGATGAATGTACCATTCCACTTCTGGCCATAATTACATGAAGTATGTCCTAGAAGCGTAAAGAGTTCAAAATTTCTAGCGATGCAGCTGAGGATCGCTTAAGTATATTTTGACGGTAGCAATATACTGCCATCCATGAATCTCGATAACAAGCTTTTCGTTATTTTTGGATCCTATGACTAAATGGTTGCTTTTCAACAAATTACTATTCATATTTTTTCTCGCGGCACTGTTTATTTATGAACATTTTCGGCCGAAAGTTCTCTTGCTGCGAGATTCGTATTTGCTGTTGGTCATAGTATACCATGCTAGTGAATGTACTGAGTTAAGGGTACCCAAAAAAGTACTCTGCTACTAGTATGTCACAGAATCTGTTGGGTACTAAAGTACCTTATCGGGTACTCTGGTACAAAATATTCAGTAAATGGGTACTTGAAGATACTGATCAGATACTCAATTTGGTACTATTGTACAGTATTTTTAGGTACCCTGTTACCAAAATTTCAGTATGTTCAGGATCGAACCTGACCTTTGACTTTTTTCATTTTTGTTTCTCTCAAAGCGATTTACTACATTTTTTTCGATTTTATTCAATTTAATTTTTTCAATTCAGAAAACCAAGCAGATCGAATGCCGGGATCTGACCGGACTTGAGTTGGTCAGGTGTTCATTAGACCACTTCAGAGTAGTCCACTCTTAATCTACGATCAAGATCGGCATGTTCTCGACTAAGAGATAGTCAAGAAATAATCTAGAAAAAAATTAGTAGGAAAATAGATTAGTTTCTTATGCTTTGCCGAGTTGTTTATATGGAGCGGTGCGTGAAATAGAAAACGGTGAATGAACAGTTGCTACGCAGAACGCGACAAATGTAGGGTACCCACTAAAGTTTCCCTCAGTAAAATTATAGATGCAGGTACCCATACAAGTACTTGTTCAGTGAGCGTACTTTTATGGGTACCCCATGCAGTACCTACATCAGTATAATTACTGAGAATTTTCGAAGTACCCAAATTGGGTACCCTGCTACGACTTTCTCAGTATATGGAGTACCCTGAACTCAGTACTTTCTCTAGGGCAGTGAGCATTGTGATAATATTTTGAAATTATTACAGAGGATTACGATAAAATAACAAGCAAGCAAACAGGCCATCATATATGAACGAGAAAGTCATGAAAATTAGGGATCGTTCTTTGACAAAATGTTTCACTTTTTTGGATTTTTCAGAGAAAGAAATAATCATGGTAGAGAATGTTTCGCTCGATACCAAAGCAAACTGACTTTTAGAGTCGATTATGTTTAGACACGTAACAAGAAATAGAAAAGTAATCCAACCCAGATACATCCTTACACGCAGAAACTGTCTGTATTCAGAAACTAAGCTATTTCCTTTGCTGACTAATGGTTTTCGATATCAAGAAATTGTAAACGCTCGAACGCGACGCAGAGAACTCATCTTAATTTCGAATAGTTCCGTTGGAGTTGTTCATGGTTCTCAACCATTGTGATATGTCTTGTGACCATGTGTTTTACTTAGGGCAATCCAAAAGTAGTGGCAGTAGTACTTTAATTCCTTATAGAAAGCTTAAAGAAACTTTCTCTCTACATAGTCTGATAGAGGAAAGAATGCTCTATTTCTCTATGCTATTTGATCATACTTCAACTAATATCATAATAATAAAATTTTGATAAGATCTGTTTTGTTCGCATGCATCACGGTTACATGATTGCTAGTGAGTGTTTTTTGAATAACTTTTGATGGGCACCTCATGGAAAAGTACAGTTTTCACCATTGGAAAGAGGAGATGAAGATGCATCGAATCGTATATTACAGATTTTTCTAATATTGATTTTTGAAGTATTTTTATTCAATTTTCTAACTGTCTCAAAAGTTTTTTTTTTACGAGAATAGAAAAAAGCAGAAAAAGTGAGCTTTTTTCACAGGCTTTGCTAGAAAATGGTATTAGAGGCTCGACTACATTTCATATTATTCATCTCAACCTTAGGCACTTTCCAGATGTTCGATTAGTGGTTTGAATTTATACTTGATAATTGAAACTCCACCATAAACAATTCGCTAGATAGGTTTGTTCTTAAAAAGCTCGATAGAAAACCTTACAAAAAACAGATCAAGAAACCATGGAATATACGCTTCGATGCGTTTTCATCTCCTCTTTCCAATGGTGAAAACCACAGTTCTCTATCTTGTTTTTATCAAAAGTTATTTAAAAAATACTCATTCGTATTTTTAAAAAATGAGTATCGTTATAACCAGCACATAGGATAACGGCACAGATCTTGTCGAAATTTTATTATTATGATATTAGTTGAAGTATGATCAAATAGCATAGAAAAATAGAGTATTCTTGCTTCTATCAGACTACGTAGATAGAAAGTTTCTTGAAGCTTGTTATAAGGAATTGA